TATACTAGGTACGTAAGGTAGTATTATTAATTATATACTAGTATATATAGTGTGTGTATATATATATATATATATATATATATATAAAGTATCTTATTGGCTGAAATATTTGCCTCATTCAAATAATGGATAATATGTATGATAAAATTTGACATATGTAACAGTGTTATAATAGTTGTCTTCTTAAAATAATGGTTTTACTTGTAACTTTTTAATAAAATCTTGACATTGATGACAATCACATATTCAGACACCTTACACCTTGATGATGAGCTCATCATCCTATTGAACTATCCACCTATAGTAATACTATCCCCCTATGGTAACATTATCCCTCTATAGCAAGAATATCCTTAGTAACACTATTCACCTATAATAACACCATCTGCCTTTGTAAAATGTACACAATATACATGCAAAAAAATATAATGCTAATAAGATTTAAAGTTTTACTTATAAAGTGAAACTGATGAATAACTTTTCAATACTGGTAATTGTAAACACAATGTTATGCATATTACATTAAATTATTAATGTTAAGACTTTGATTATTACTATAACGTTATTGTCGCATTGTCACCCTTTGGTGGCCCACTCATGAACTATCTGTATGATCATCATACCAACATGCCCTTTGTCAGCAGAAAACTTCTTCCAGTCAAGTGTCATGGTGGCATGACTACTTTTGGCTGTCATGGTGGCCTAACAAACAACTTTCTAGTGAGTAGCACTCAAACTAAAGGTCTTTTGCATATTATGTAAGAGTTATATAACAACCTTCGTTTTTATGTATTATGTAAGAGTTATATGAGAACCTTTGTTTGTATATGTTATGTAACAGTTATTTAACAACCCTCATGTATATATATATTATCTCAGAGTTATGTAACTCTCAGGTGGTATCCTTTGATATCCACTCATTTGGCGACTCCCCACTGAGGCAGCATCCTATGGGCAGTCAAATGCAGCAGTAACTACTTTTGGATGTTAAAAGTGTAGGATGTAGTCAAGATTTATACAATAAATAACTTCTCCTCTATCCTGAAGTCTGCATTTAGCAGAAGATAATAGAGAGTGGTTACCCCATCTGTTGAGCAAGCTGTACTGCTTTTTAATAAAAAGATATCACCTGCTGTGATTCCTTCCCTTACTCATGGCTAGCACCCTTTGTGCCTATTTGCAGTAACCCATTGCATTGTCTATCATTGTGTGATCTAATGCAGAAGAGATTATTCCTGTTCATGCATGTTCTCCTCCTCATCTGTACTTACTTATCTTCTGTTTTCCTTTAATGGATTCTGAGAATCCTTGCTTCCCCAGTTCCAATCAGCTTGGGAGAGTTCCACTTCAAATCTTACTGGTATGAAACTGAGTAGTAGCTATTTGTCTTGTAGAGATGTGAGTACCAACCTGAGTACTTTTTCAGGTAAGGAAAATGTTGATTCCTGAAATGCAAGAAATGGGTATTAGCTTGCTGAAGAGGAAGTTTAAGCACACAGAATCCACTCCAAATCTTTTTGAGGAATGAATGGACCAACCCCTCCTGATAAATATTGCAAACTTTAACAGTTACTCAGGAGATTATTAACTAAAATATTTTGTTCCAGGTGTCTATGAATATGTACAAACTGAAGATGGAAAAGAAGTAAGGTTTCAAATCAATGCTCAGAACTGCATCCACTGTAAGACATGCGACATAAAAGACCCAAGTCAGAACATTAACTGGGTGGCCCCAGAAGGAAGTGGTGGCCCAGCTTATAATGGAATGTAACAAAAGTAAAGTTTCTAGGTAATGACATTTGTTTGAGAACAATAGAACCCCAGGTACAGCAAACAGGAAAGACTGTACTTTGTAATTTTCAGCAGTGTATATTGTACTGTAGCCTACATGTTTCTAAGACTGAGTGTTTATAGGTTTTTCAAAACTGCTGTAAGATATCTTTATGAAAGTACATAGTTGATTTTTTTTAATGAACCAAATTAGTATAAAGATTGTGGGTAATTTTAATTCTTGATTGTATTCAGTTCTTTATGAGACGTGTTTGTAGAAAACGATGCTTATTCTGTTTTCCTGTTCTAGTTGTATTCTTTGCCACTTGCTTTATACACCTTTGTGGTTCAAGTTTACTCCATTTCACACTACTGAAACATTACTTATCATAAGATATACTATATTAATTGCTTGAATTTAAAAATTAATGTGGAATTTAGTGTAAAATGTGATGCAGTTATTACTTTAACGTTATTTCCTTTTGGTAGAAATCATAAAAATTGAATAGTATTTGCTATATGTATAAAATTTAATATAATAGTTTTGTATAAAAAATGAACAAGTAGCTAATGTATGTGTAAAGAAAAAACACTTAAATGTTTATATCAAATTATTATCTGTATTTCCTGCACATATGAGAAGTTAAACCCAATATTTTCTGTAATTGAAACACTTCACACAGTACGTGTTCCAAGTGAAACCTTTTACCCAGTACTTGCTGTATGTGAAAAGTTTATTGCATCCTATTCACAGTTGACATTCTATTGAAAATCAAGTCCTGTGTGTCTCATTGATAGTTGAACCACACATGTCCCATTGACAGTTATATTCATTGTTTAATATATGCTTAATATTTTTGTGTCTGGTGCTATAAGTATAAAAATATAACATAGGTAGGCTTACAAACATATAGGGGGTCATCATAATAAGAAATCTTCTATAAGCATGAATGTACATTCAGTTTTATCTTTACTGATATTCTTATAACACTGAAAGTATCTCTAAAATTCTGAATCTATATTTAGTTTTATACTTTCTGAAAATTTCATTATTAGAAACAGCCATTCAAGTTAAATCAATAACATAGTTAGTTGTTGGTTATATTTATAGTTACCAAGTGAATATTTTCCTTTAAAACATGTAAAAAAAAAGAAAAAGATGTCCATTTACAGCACTCAAAATTTAAGGGGCTGAACAACTCAAGTTTTTGAAAATCATATTTTTGTTTGATTGTTATTCTTGACAAAGAAAAAAGGCCTAAAAAGTGAGTTTTTTTAGCCCAATGTGTAAGGGTTTTTGGCAGATTCATTATCCATTAGTAATTTACTGTTAAATCACCTTTTATCTGTAGGGCAGATTTATTTTTACTGTCATTTTTGCTTAAAATCTATTTTAATTTTTTCAGTAAATTTTGCACTGTATTTTTAAGAATTCTTTAAAATATTGACTGTTCCAAATTAGTATGGGCATGCAAAATAAAAACTTGTAAATTTAAAGCATCCTCTAATAATAATAATAATTAACACTCTTCCTTATTTGTGATAATTCCTTACAAAAACCAAAACTTCATTAAATGAAATATATGCTAATGTTTAAAGCTTTTGATAAAATGCATATGTTACACTCTTTGACTCAATCTCAAGATTTGGCTGCTGTCTGCAAAAGATAACCTTTTCATGAATTGAGCATGTCAAAATTATCAAAGACCAAAATGTGATGTTATAATGCAGTTTTTGAACTACAGTTTGTGTAAATCCTAGCATTTGTTTCACTTTCTCCATTTTATTTTTTGTTTATTTGGTATCTTGCATTTCACAGTTTAGCAAAATAAATTCTACAAACACTGAAATAACATTTTATTTACAAAATGTTAATTTCTTTAGATCAGTGACCAAATCCTGACCTGGAGCATAACATATACAACAGGTTAGGGCCTGCAAAACCTAAGTAACTTTTTTTTTTTATTTTTAGATGCAAAAACTAAAGGATGTACATACAGATGTAGAAAAATCAAGTTTATAATTAACTTACACATTGTTGTTTCATGGATTACAATTGCAGTCCAGTCCATTACATGCTTTTGTTTTATTTAAGTCTCAACAAAATGATACTGTATTTTTTACTAATTTTACAGTGTTCCTGTCCAGTTATTATTGACTCTTAACTTTACTCATCTTATTGTTGTGGTATATCCAGATGAAACTGAGTTAACTTTAAAGCTGTATCAGATAAGTTGCAAGATAAAAGAGATTTGCTCAAGATCTTGATTACAAAATAATACTAAATCTCTTACTACCTGTGTCAATGTAAAAAGGAGTAACAAGACTACACAAATTGTAATAACAAATTTTAAATCTTTATTTTAGACACTAAAAATAATCACGGTGAGTATAATTTCTTGAATAAACAGGACAAATTATCACTCTGACTCAGTGGCTGATTTTTCAAGATCCTATTCCAGACTGTTCTCTCTCAAGATGATGTTCCAAACAGACTTGCTAACTAAATGTAATGTTCTTTAGCATGCAAGAAACCTCACAATTATCCAAAGTGACCAGTGCTACCACATGAATGGTCATTTTCATCACAACAAAAGTGGAACTATAACCTCTAAATATCACCTGAAAAACTGAAACTACTGTCAAAATGTTTAAACAATATGCAGTTATGTACAATATCCTTCCAGGGTGAAACTGGTAATATCCACTTTAAGAGAAACCAAAGAACAAAGTTAGCATTAGAACAAAATCAATTTAGTGGCTACTTTGACCATGTGTTATGTAAAACCTGCAGCTATACAGAACAAAGAATAAGTTCAATGAAAATACTGTGAATCTACATGAAGATAGAAATGGTATGTTCATATATCATACTTGGTTTTTTTGGTCTTCTGGAAAAACAATATTCATATAATACAGTTGAATTAGCTAGCTTGTATCTGCTTCTAAGTGACATTCCTCTGTGTTCATGTAAATGTATCTGTAATGAAAGCTATATTAATGTATTTCTAATATTTTTACTGTTTTTTTATTCATCTTACTGCAATCCTGGCTCTCTAACATCTTCAAGTATTCTACCAATAGCAATGCAGTGTGGTTGGTATTTTATTGTAAATTATTTAATACAACCATATCACAGTTTTAGATAAAACTACACTATTTATTGAAATACCCATATGTTGAGTAATATTTACCACAAAAGTGAGGATTTACAAACCTCACTTACACAAATAATATTAGGACATTACTAGTTAATGTATGGTTCAGCCAGGACATTTGTATTTATAGACATTAGTAGTCAATTTATGGTACAGTCAGGATACTAATTGTCAATACATGGTCCAGATGGGATATTTGTATTTAAGGACATTAGTAGTCAATGTATCGTACAGTCAGGACATCTGTATTTAAGGACACTAGTAGTCATTGTATGGTTCAACCAGGACATTAGTAATCAATTTATGATGCAGCCAGGATATTACTAGTCAATTTATGATTCACTCAGGACATTTGTAGTCAATGTATGGACCAACCAGGACATTATTAGTCAATGTATGGTTCAATCAGGATACTTGTAGCCTATGTATGGTCCAGTCAGGACGTTTGTAGTCAATGTATGGTCCAGTCAGGACATTAGTAGTCAATGTATGGTTCAGTCAGGATACGTGTAGTGTATTTATGGTCCAGCCAGAACATTTGTAGTCAATGTATGATCCAGTCAGGACTTTTGTATTTAAGGACATTAGGAGTCAATATATGGTACAGTCAGAATACTAGTAGTCAATGTATGGTACAGTGAGCACATTAGTTGTCAATACATGGTCCAGTCAGGACAAATGTATATAAGAACATTAGTAGTCAATGTATCGTACAGTAAGGACATTTGTATTTAAGGACACTAGTAGTCAATGTATGGTACAGTGAGGACATTAGTTGTCAATACATGGTCCAGTCAGGACAAATGTATATAAGGACATTAGTAGTCAATGTATCGTACAGTAAGGACATTTGTATTTAAGGACACTAGTAGTCAATGTATGGTACAGTGAGGACATTAGTTGTCAATACGTGTTCTAGTCAAGACATTTGTATTTAAGGACATTAGTAGTCAATGTATCGTGTTTGTGTTTTGCATGGAGGCTCGTCATCATTTCACTGGCAAATAAAATGAACTCACATTGACTCTTCTCCAACTTTAATTGTTGGGGTAGTTGGGTACCTTACTTCTTGGAGTTGTTTCTTAGCCCTCTGGATGCCAATCTTAGTTAATGCGAGTGCTTGCTGTCTTGCCTGTTAACAAAACTTGTAATGGTGTAGTTCTTGTCTTTCAAGACCATCCATCACATGAGCTTCACTATCGAAGTTTGACCACAGGAGAAGAGCTTTGTAAGACCTTTGTGTGCTCCAAATTCTCATTCCTCAGTCTCCTGAGTTAGCAGCTATAAATAGATAGCCTGTAGGGAGAATTACAGCAACATCAGAAATCACACACCCAGGATAAGGCTTCTTCTGAATCTAACCACTCTCTGTATTTGCCACTCTTCCTCAACTCATAGCTTATCTTCCAATAGATCATGAAACATTTGGCTTGTAGAGAATATTATCTATGCTCACGTTCAGGGGTGTAATTACTGTTTTCTTAATAAGCTGTATTATTTTTTCACCATTCCTATTCCTATTTTACACTCACAACTACCAGAACCTGGTCACAGTGTTGAAGTTTTTCCTGATATCTTGTGCCTTACTAGCAAACTGGAAGTTTTCTTATCTCGGACTTAAATAAAGAAAATTAGGGCTTTAAAATTGAAATTATTTAATTAAAAGAACTAAATCTAAAAGACTATTACGTCTTCTTTTCAAATTCAATCCATCTTTACGATTTTTTTACTCTGTGTAACAGAAAGTTCTTTTTTTGCTTTAGAGATGTAAAATTCCCAGTTACGACAGTCAAATCATAAAGAAAGAAACGACGCAAATATATACAAAAAACAAATATTTAATGGCAATCTTCACAATAAACAATACTTTTAATACAGTATATTAAGTAATATACTATAGAGCAAATGGTATCGTGTGTGTGAGACAAGAGCTGAAGAAGAGTTTAACAGAAAAACAATGAGCTCTTGTCAATGTGTGTATGTTATTCTTGTAAGTGCAAAAAGAATAACACCATTAAGTTAAAAGTATGCTCTGAAAGTAAAAGTATATCATCACCATTCACCTAAGTGAAGTCTATATTCACTGGTTGTAATGGTGGTCTCACTTAAAGGGTTTGAAATATCGTGAGGTCCACTAGGGTTCTTGGTGTTCTTATGTCTAACAAGAACTCGACCTCTCATCCTTGTATCCTTATAAGCAAAAATGAAGCTCCACCCACTCTGGCAGTTTTTCTGATAACTAAAATCTTTGGTGAAAGATGTCCACTGTGCCCCCCAAGCTGGTGGCCAAGCCTGACTTGGGCTTCATCAGTTTTCTGGAGCATTTGCCACAGCATCTACTATTTGTTGTTGGTTGTCCTCAACCTGCTGCTCTCGTGACCTTGCCTACTTTGCTGCTCAGTAAAATGCCGATATTGTGGATTGGCTGACATCTGGTGAGAGATTCTGAAACTAATAACACTGACATCTTTGCTGTACAGCACAGTATAGGAAATTCCTCTGCCAGTGTTTCACTCTTCCACTTCTGGATGATGTTTATGAAGATGCATTGGCCATTGCTGTGCTATATATTTCATGGGCATACCTGAATAGCCTTGCCTACTCACGGGAGGCGAGTGTGATTGCATAGCATTTTCGTCTGGTAGAGGCAGCTGTTTGTTAATTCCCCAATTAGTTCTAGCCCAATGTGATGGAATTAGTTTGGTCACACCCTCTTCTATTGGAATTATCATACAGCTACCTCTTTATGCATTTTCTTCTCTGATGGCTAAACCACTTCAAATCATATAACAATGGACAGTGCTTCCATGAGAGTAATGGTGTCTGCCACTACCACATGCTGTTGCATAAGCTCATTGGGATGTCCCTTAATGCATTTATTGACCAGAACATCTCAAACAGCAGATCTCATTGCTGGTCATCTTCCTAATATTGAACTCGGCCCAATTTATCATCTGATTCTCTACTGAGGCAAATTAGTGTCATCATGTTGCTCCTCATCCAAATATTCAAGAGCTGGATTTTCTAGCCCATGACTTGGCATTTCACAACCTGTTTCTGAGTCCATTCGAGGCAGTGACCTGTCTGAACGTTTTTCCTCTTTTGCTGTTTCCTTGAACATCAGGGGTATTATCTGCTTGTCTTTGCTCATGGGAATCTGAGTACCAGGCCAAAGCTTCCCTATCTCATAATTCTGATGAAGGCTGGGAGGAGATGCTGCCAGTGATCATAATTCTGGATTGAAGTCGCCGACAGGGACAGTGATACCCAAATGAGTGGTCTGCCCATAGCAATAAATTACTCAGTATGGCTCGTTATACAGCCATGCTTGACTCCAGATATCATGAGCTGCCATTAATGTTGCAGGTAACCTTTCTGTCCTGAAAGGTACCTCATTCCTGAATCACAGTCTTCGTATTCTGACTGTTGGAGATCATCCACTAGTGGTATGTCCAGCAAATCTCCCTGAGTGAATGATTGTAGACTGCCTGACATCTCGGGCAGAATATACATTATCTGTTCTATAGAACAAAGGAATATAGCAACTAGAAGGTGACAATCTCAAAGACTATCTGAACCATGTGTTTTTACAAACTTAATAAACGAAAAACTAACATTTCTATAATCATTAAAGCAGGTAGAAAAGATATATGTCTGAATATCAGAACTCTATATAAAGATGTAAATCTCTTTAAATATCTGTAAAATCTACTCTCACAAGCGTCAATGCTGTTTGAAACTTGGCAATACACTTTCAAGGTCCTAATGCATACACACAAAAATACAATTACTGGGGACTGTTGAATGTATCCGTGTACTATGTGTGCAACCACGGCTAAGATGCTAGGACAACATGGATCTTTATGAAGTCCTATGAGTTTAAAATATGTATGGGCTTTTTTTCATGTGAATTAATGTCTCACTAGATAACAAAAACTAGTATTGAGTTGGAACATGAAATAAAAATATAACATTGGGCACTGTCAGCACTTCCTTTGCAAGTTTAGCCAGTGTTGCGAAACTACTAAATATGCAGTAATTATAAACACAGCCTGAGAATTAGTGTTTATTTTACCCATTTTTAAAGTTACTATTTAAATGAAATAACCTTAAACTAAAATCAATAATAATACATTAATAGTTAGGCTGTTTTATATCATTTTCGTGATGAAAAAGCTCCAACTACAGTGCATATACGTTTCTTATTTGAATAAGTTAGAAAATGTATCCCATGAGTACTGCAAGTAATTGGTAAATATATAATACTTTCTTTTAAAAAGAATCATAATAAAAGTCACTTTTATTGAATGCACAAAGCAGATGAAAACACATATTCCATTTTCTAACAAATGAGCAACTCTCTGCAGCTCCACTGATACAAGCATAGAGGATAAAGAAACAAAACAAGTAAAAGTCGGCAATCTCAAGAACTTTTTGGACCATGTGTTTATACTGTTACGACAGCGGAAGTCGCGTGACGCTGATGACACTGATGAATTTCTCGAATGATCCAGGGGACCCGAGTGCATTCGAGACGCCCCTCTTTTTTAGTATATAAGCCTGACGAGAAAAACCAGCGGGGATGGAATGTATGGTTGAAACGAACATTAGTCACGGTAAGTTATCGAAATTGTGAATCGCCGTGATTTATAGCGTGTATTATAAAAGTCGTTAAGTTGAAAATGACGAGAAACGTACTGACTGTGGACTTTCTGTGTACTAAAAGTTTGTATCGAGAAAGAATAAACTGGTTTAATCAAGAAAAGAATTGAATCGCTGAAGTTCCTCAGAAAGAATTTCTACCGGAAATTAACAAACAAGCAGATAGTAACAATACTAAAATTGCTTGAAAGTTAAACAAATGAAAGAAAAAAACTACAATTTATATAAATCATTAAAGCAGGTAGAAAACATATTGTTACGACAGCGGAAGTCACGTGATTCTCGTAACAAGTCATGAGATTCTAGAAAGATCATGTCCGTTCGTGAAGCCTCCTGTGTTCTCCAGACACCCTCTCTTTCGTATATATAAGACCGGCGAGAAGTGACGGCATAGACATGAATAATTGTATTGCAGACAGAGAGATATAGAGACAGATAATCGAGTCAAACGCGGTAGTAAGTAAAGCGCGTGAATCGTTCGTTGTGGATTACAGCGTGTGTTAAGTTAAAGTGACCGTGGAAATTAAGTGTATTGCAAAGTTGAAATGAGAAAGAATAAACTAGTTTTATTTAAGAAAGGACTTGTGTCGCTAAAGTTTCTCGGAAATAAATTATACGGGAAATTAACAAACGACCAGAGACGTAACAATATTATATGCCTGAATATCACCAATCTGGGCCTGGCATAGCCAGGTGGTTAATGCGATCGCGGGTTCGAATCCCCATCCTACCAAACATACTCGACCTTTCAGTCGTGTGGGGCGTTATAATGTGATGGTCAGTCCTACCACTTGTTGTTAAAAAGTAGCCCAAGAGTTGGCGGTGGGTGTTGATGACTAGCTACCTTCCCTCTAGTCTTACATTGTTAAAGTAGGGACGGCTAGCGCAGATAACCCTCGTATAGCTTTGCGCAAAATTCAAAAACAAACAAACCTTTCATTTGTGCCCCGAAATGTCAATACTTCGTCAATCTTGCCAAGAAAGGCTCTCCTCTAAAAGTAAATGATAAGAAATCTACTAATTATCTCTCTTTTTTTGTTTTTTGCCTCCCAGTGGATTAGCGATAAATTTACTTAAAACTCTAAAACCTGGGGTTCGATTCCTTGTGTTGGACAGAGAGAAGATAGCCTCATTTTATAGCTCTGCTCTAAATAAAACAACGACTTCTGAAGTTCTTTTAATTTTTTAAACCGTGTATGAGTTCTGTACATGTCATCTAATTTGTTAAAGATACGGAAATTATGTTTAACTATTTATAATAAACGTTTACATTCAAAAGTTTGTTTGTTTGTTTTGGAATTTCGCCAAAAGCTCCACGTGGGCTATCTGCGCTAGCCGTCCCTAATTTAGC